GTGCAAACAGTTTAGTGGGGCTTTGTAATTTCAGGAACTTGAGGCACTTCAGGCTTTGGCAATGGTGGCATCTCAACCTTAGGAAGTTGAGGAAACTCTGGCTTTGGGATTTCTGGAACTTTTGGTAACTCTGGCTTAGGAATTTCTGGAACTTTTGGTAACTCTGGCTTGGGAATTTCCGGGACTTTAGGCATCTCTGGCTTAGGAATTTCTGGAACTTTTGGTAACTCAGGCTTAGGAATTTCAGGAACGTTGGGCAATTCTGGTTTGGGAATTTCTGGGATTTTAGGCACTTCTGGCTTTGGCACCTCTGGCAGCTCTTGTTTAGAAATTTCTGGTACTTTCATCTTTGGCACCTCAGGCATTTCTGGTTTGGGAATTTCGGGAACTTTTGGCATCTCTGGTTTAGGAATTTCTGGAACTTTAGGTAATTCAGGCTTAGGAATTTCAGGAACTTTAGGTATTTCTGGCTTTGGAAATGGTGGCAACTCAACTTTTGGCACGGGGGGTAATTCCGGCTTAGGCAGCTCAGGCACTTGAGGCACCTCGGGCTTAGGAAGTGGAGGCAACTCAGGTAATTTTGGCTCTGGCAAAGAGGATTCGAGAAGAATTCTTGCCCCTTCAACCATCACATGGCTGGTAATTGGAGAGAAACTCAGAAGCAGAAGTGGCAGTAAAAATGAATGATGAAATGCGAGAAGCCATGGTATTGGAGTTTCCAGCAACTGATCTTAATTACTAAGGCTTGCAAATGTTTTCGATGCTCTTGTGATTGTGATTTGAGGTGAGACATGTGAGCCTTTTATAGATGATGCAGCAGCACGTTGATAGGCATACGAAGGAAGGAAACGTGGTGCGACCCTCAGAAGTGGTAGCTCAACTTCTTATCTGAATATTATTGTTGAACAATGATAAACTTTACTTAGAAATGCAGCCTTTTCAGAGTATCATATACTAAAATAATCATATTGTCGATTTGTCTGTTGAACAAAATTTGACTCCTGCACTTTTTACCATTTATTGTATGGAGGAGATGGTTCCAACATTCTCATCTGCTCATTTATTGTGAACAAGGAATAAACTCTTTCAACGTACGCAAGGAGAGGAAAAAAAGGCATATAGTAGGTAACGTAGTTGCACTCAATTTAGAACCCCACGAAAAATCTGTCAGACATATTCATGCGTAAACAAGTCGTCATTCTATTCTTCCTTTGATCCTTATAACAAGCCACAATTTGAAAGGTGTGCTGTAACATTTCACAGTCTTATTTGTAGATAGAATACTTCGCATATCATTAATTATTAGTTATTGATGTTTATTGTAGTATTTGGTATTGAATAAAATAAGTCATGCTTTTGATTTCAATTTACTAGAGATTGAGATTGTAATTTCTTGTGTTAGCCAAACTCATACATCAACAGAGACGCATACACGGGAGCCACAGGAAGGAGTTGAGTTTGTCCCTCACATTTCATTTTTTTTTCTCGGAAATATAAATAACTTTATCCTTAAAAAATTGCAACAACTCCCAGAAATTTTTTCTTAAAGTTACGATAAAAAATCTCCCAAAAATAAACTATTCTATCAAATTATTATATTTTGCTTCTCCTTGATCCATGTCATGAACAAATTTGACTCCTGCACTTTTTACCATTTATTGTATGGAGGAGATGGTTCAACATTCTCATCTGCTCATTTATTGTGAACAAGGAATAAACTCTTTCAACGTACGCAAGGAGAAGGAAAAAAAGGCATATAGTAGGTAACGTAGTTGCACTCAATTTTAGAACCCCACGAAAAATCTGTCAGACATATTCATGCGTAAACAAGTCGTCATTCTATTCTTCCTTTGATCCTAATACAAGCCACAATTTGAAAGTGTGCTGTAACATTTCACAGTCTTATTTGTAGAATACTTCGCATGATTTGGTAGTATTTGGTATTGAATAAAATAATTCATGCTTTTGATTTCAATTTACTAGAGATTGAGATTGTAATTTCTTGTGTTAGCCAAACTCATACATCAACAGAGACGCATACACGGGAGCCACAGGAAGGAGTTTGTCCCTTCACATTTCATTTTTGTTTTTCTCGGAAATATAAATAACTTTATCTTTAAAAAATTGCAACAACTCCCAGAAATTTTTTCTTAAAGTTACGATAAAAAATCTCCCAAAAATAAACTATTCTATCAAATTATTATATCTTTTGCTTCTCCTTGATCCATGTCATTTCTCTTCAGCCAAAACAAACTATTTGCATTGCCCGTGATATATATGCAATAGCATACTATAGTCTTTCTTTGCAGCTTTGATTTCTTGCGCTTTTATAAAAGAACATTGATGAAAAATTTGGCGAAGAATTATTTATACATTCATAACATAAAAGTATACTGACTGAACTTCAATGAATTAATAAAAGATGTCATATATCCGTTTAACATGAGAGTTTTTGTATATATGAATATGTTAATTCATTTTTAATGCCCCTCCAAAAAAAAAGAAGAAGTATACAATGTTTTGAGACCCGTGGTGTATCTTCGTGTCTAGTTATCTCTGCGTAAACCCCATCATTGGTGCACTGCAACTCCTTCATCCCTCAATCTTCCATGCAACGCCAAGCATTCCCAGTATGCTCGGCCATTATTCTTCTTTTTCCCTTCATGCCACCATTCATTTTTGCACTCTAGGAAGCGCTCATCCAATTGCTCAGTTCTTTATCATCTTTTCCACTTCCATTGCTTCTACTTTCATTACAACTTAGTCCTCCTCCTTCACATGTTTCAATAACCAAGAAGAAACACCAGTGTTGGGCTTATCCTGGATATTGTGAATTGCAAAATTATTGTTCTTCTTTGGGTAGTTCTTCTGGAACCATTCAATTACATCTCTGTTTTCTTTGGTCGAGCCTACAACAACGAAGACTCTTTTTTAATACCCTTTAAGAAAATCGCCTGTTAAGTCAGGTAGGTAATTGAACCTCTTCAAGTAGATTTCTCTGAAGCAGGTTTCGGTGGCTCCAGGAGCACATCTTCAAGACCCCTTAACGCCACTTTCTCAGCTTCATCAGCTGATCCCAATTGGAAACGCTTTCTCCTAGTTGAGGATCCAATCATTTGATTATCAGTTTTAGTTTCTTTAACGTAACGATTATATAACTGTATTGTCAAAGATACCCTACTCTGTAATTAGATTGTTGTTTGAAAGAAATTGATGGGTTAAGACGTAACGGAAAAGCCAGAATGCCATCAGTTCTCAGAATGCGATCCACAAATTTCACGTCTCTAGAGCTGGATGCGAACACGAAATCACACGACTCGTCTGAAAATGAGCTTTGTGTCTGTGAATCAGAATCCATAACCTCGTCAAATCCACAGCACCGTGTTTGGTTCAACAGAAGAATGGAAGGGAGGGATTTTAATCAAGAAAAAGAAAAGAAAAGATATAGGGTAACTACAAAAAGGAGGAAAGGGAAAGGGAGAGCAGAGATTTTGATCTCATGTTTGGATTGATTGGAAGAGAGGAGAGGGAGCAATTTTAACAATATCTTATTTTGTTCTAATAAAAAATTGACTATTTTAACCTCATAAAATTTAAATGAATTTTTTTACTTTTTTATTTTATTAAGATGTAATTATATATATAATGCAATTCACTAATTTTGACTTACAAGACACAATCACACACTTATAGGATATCAAGATAAAAAGTCGTAAGTGATAGATTTTAATCAGAAAAAAGATCTTGAAGGTGAGAGAAAATACCGACAGTCTCTTGGAATTAGATAAAGAGAAGAAAAAGTTTAACAATACCCACTAATTTTGGAGACAACTATCTCGACAACCTCTTGCTAGATGTTCAAAAGAATTCTCTTACATAGAAATGTTTACGACTGATCAGGGGTTAACAAATCGAAATGGTATATAAAGAATTAAAGTATTTTAGTTAGGCTAATTTTAAAACTTAAAATTTTATCTCTCATCCCCCTCTAAAAAATCTCATTTTTAGAGGGGAGGCTAGAAGGGAAGAGGAGGGGAGAAGAACTCTTCTCTTTTTTAAAAAATATCTTAACCAAACTTCCCTCCCTTTTTAAAAATTGCACCAGCCAAATAAGGGGAGGAGAACAATTTTCCTCTGCTCCCCTCCGAAAATCCCGTGCCAAACATAGTGTAAAAATAATAACACCCTCAAAGCCGTCGCATGCGTTCATAATAAGAGTCTGTTTGGCTCAATGAGAAGAAGGGGAATGACGGGATTTTAATGGAGGCCAGGAGAGGAGGAGGAAAGTAGAAGAATTTTAATATTACCTTGTTTGAATTTATAAAAAAAAAAGAGAGGGGAGGAGTTTTAATATTACCTTGTTTAGTTCATGAAGAGAAGGAAGGGAAACATATTTTGACATAGATAATTTTACTCTTATTTTATTTAAAATTATTTTTTCAAATTTTATAGAATGTTTAATAAAATAGAATTGTAAATAACATTTAATATATTGAGTAATACTTATATCAAAATTCTAATATACTCTAAAATATGAAATATTATTGGAAAAGAGTTCAAGTAATATTCATCTATTTTTAATTTTTATGGGTATAAAGCTCCAAGGATTTAAATTTTGACATATAATTATATATGTCAAAATTTAAATCCTCAAAATTTTATTCATTGAATTATCCATCTTATCTTTTCAAATTTTATATTTATATATAAAAGAGAGAACAGTGTTTGAAGACAAGAATAAAAAGATTTAGGATAATATAAGGATATTAAAAATAAATATTGACGTAATAGTTACAGACAAAATATTACCCTTCCCTTCAAATCCTTCTAAAAATTTTTTTTCCTCCCCCTTAAAATCTGTGTGTTACTGAACAAGACGAAATGATTAAAATTCTTCTTTGTCCCTCCCTTCCAAATCCCCCGGCACCAAACGCACCCTTATTGTCCTTTCTGAGAAAAGGCCTTCGTCGGCCAAATCATGCGGAAGCGAATTCAGCATTTGGGCATGGACTAAACCAGCTGTGGCGGTCTCAATTCTGGAATAAATTAAATGGTGTGAACTTGATGAAAATCCCTCCTTGAGGATGGACACCAAAAAAGGCACCGCGACGAGAACCATAGCCATAAGATTTGTCCGAGACAAAATGAAGAAGACCAGTGCAGCAGGAATCATAACTCCCACAGCAGTATCGGAATTAAAGCAATTCCACCGCCGTTCAAGTGTTTCACATTACTTTTGTTCGCGGATTCAATAAACCCGCGACCTAAATCCATAGTGCTCCCTTAAACCATTAACCGCCGAGCGAAGCCCTTTCGACAGTGGACCAATACGAGGACAACCGAGATGCAGAAAAGAGATGATGATTGCTATAAGGTGGAAGAAAAGGCCTACAAAAGGATTCGAAAGGGAAACTCAATAGCGAGTGCAAAACCTAGCGGCGGTGTGGTTTCCGCCCACAAACGCTAACCGGGTAGTCCGAATTCTACACCAGAGGAGCATCAATTGGCGATTGCCTCATCCTCAGAAGAGGAATCGCATCCAATCTTCCAAATCAATTGAAGGGATGCGTAGGTCACACCGGTAAATTTTTCCCACTTGCACAGTTCCGATTGTCACTTGCAATATTGTTAATTATTTTTTTTGGCCGACCTGATCCTGTTTACATGATAAAAAGAAAAGAAATTTTTTAATTCTATTTATAGGATACTGAGAAAATTTTTTTTGTATGGATGTATAATTTTATTACTTTATTTATTATTGTGTTAATTTTATTTATATGAAGTATAATACATATTACATAAGTATAAAGTTGAAAAGTTATTGAATTTTAAATGAGAGTTAATAAAATTTAAATTTTTTTAATTTATATAAAACATGTTAGAAGTGACTTATAAATAAAATAAAAAAATACTTTTTTAATTTTTAATGTGAGAATTACTTAATTAATTTGAATTAGAATACGAAAGCTAACTAAATTAATTAATTTTGATAAATATAACACAATCTTTTTAAAATACTTTCATGTGATACTAGGTTTATTATTATCATTTAGGTTTTAATTAAAGATTAAGTAGCACACTAAAATATTTTCGCATGTGCATCCAACCGTCAAAATATTTTGAAATGCATTTAACATTTTTAAATATTTTTTGTCTTAACGTTGAATATATCAAAAAATATTTTTAGGTTATGGACATACCTAAAAATATATTTTAGGATATTAATATATATAAAAAATACTTTACGTGTTACGCACTAAAAAATACTTTGTGCTAGAAATTTCCATATACGCCTTGACCTTTTTAATCAATACTCCTTCCGTTTCTTATTATAAGAGATAAATAACCGAAATACGTTGATAAAAAAAACAGTTAAAATTAGTTAAGAACAATTAATGTGTAAAAAGTATAATTTTTTCCAAAAATACCCTCATTAATAAGGAGAGAGAGCATGAGAGAGAACAATTAAATTATTAAAAGAAAGAGAAGTGGGAGGGAGAGAGAGTGTGAGTTGGAGATAATAAATATGGGTAAAATAGTAAATCACACAAAAAAGTAGAGACAACTTGTAAGTGTCTTTATATATAGGAACATGCCATAAGCATCAAATGTCTCTTATAATAAGGAACGGAGGGAGTAGTATTCTCATCACATTGGGCCTGTGGCACCCGTTCGCACTTGGAAACACTCTTAGTGGGCCATCCTCGAGTTCACATGAAACTTAATTGCCTAGAAGCATCCGGGCAGGTTCTACTGACATCATGCCGCGTGCGTACAGATGAAGCCGAAAGTCTCTGTCTTTCGGAATATAAAATGCAAGAAAATTACTTAAAAGAGCAATTCAATTTCTGGGATGTTTCGATGTTTTGAAGGAAATTGAGAGTAAGTTTCGCTGCAATTTCCAGGCACTTACGGAACCCCAAAGTGACCGCGGTGCTCTTAAAGACAGCCAGAACCCATCCTGAAAGCTCACTGGCACACAAGTTCTGTAGCCAAAACCATCACAACCATCTCTCAGCGTCACTCTCCTAGAGAACAAAGTTGCAGGTTTCAGAGAAAAACAAACAAAAACAATGGGAATCGTTGAGGAAAAGAGCTCATTTCCTCTCCCTATCACCAATTCCGATCCCGAAATCAAAGTTCGCAGTGTGCTCCCAGTTTTTGGTTTGCTCAACATGATTATTAGCTGTTCGACGACCATCTACCGCGCATACATAAACGGCGACATTCCAATGGTAGTGTTCATCGTTTTTGTGTTCTTCGGCACCTTCTTGCTGGAATATTGGTTCCGATTATACAATAAGTTGTCCCCGACTGAGAATTCCTCGCAGCGCCATTACATTAAAATTGGCATATGGCTCTTGATAAGCTCTATCATGTTTGGTTTTGCTTATGAAGTCTCCACTTTTATGAGCCTAGCAGCGTCTGTCTCTTTCTTTTTGGTTGTACTCTGTGGCAACTCTCTCCTTTTCTATGTCTATTTCATTTGGGATGGTGAAGGGAAGAGCACACCCGCTAATAAGGCTGCCAAAGCGGAAGAACAGGAAAAGAAGCCTTTCCTGGAGTCTGTAGATAAAGTGTAAGCCCCTTGGTCCATCTTCTGCTGTTTTCTTTTAGCGGCAACTGGTATCAACTACCCGTGCGAAAGTTTACTTCAAATAATATGTGATCACCAATATTACTATTTCAATCCATGTCATTACAAAAGCATTAATGCGTTATCATGCATCATTATGTATGGATAATAATATTGAAATTGCTTTATACTTTTATGCTTAAAATCAAATTTTATTAGCGAAACCTCTATTCACAAGCAGTACATACAAAAAAAAAAATTTATCATTTTGATTTGAACAATTAGTAGCATTGTCATAAATTAACCAACCATTTGAACTTTAGAAAAATATGTAGAATATAGAAAAAACATCATATACCGGAGATGCCAAGTATGATATCAAGAACATATATGTATATATAAAATGTGCTTGTCACATTTGATAGCAAAAATTACTTGACCAAAATAAAGTAAAAATAAGATAATTCTTTACACATTTCAATTGATCAAGGCCTGTCTCACGAAAATATTAAAAGAAATATATACATGAAACTCCCAAAAAAAATCTCAATCTCTATAAATAAAATTTAAAAAAAAGAAAGGAAAATGCTAAAAGTAGGAAAGTCTTAAAAAAGTATGGAAAATAGGAAGCTATCTGAAATAAATAATCGTATGATACTGGACGTTAAGCCACTCATTTAGCTTTCGCTTCCATTTCAGGTGTTAACTCGATCCGTATGTACCCATCAACCTTCTTCTGTCAGCAGGTTCTATTAGATATTCAGTCTGCATGTACCCATCTACATGAGTTCTCGATTTTTTTTTTTTGGTATTTAAAAATGTTGAGGTTAAAAGCAACATTAGAAGGTTTCGCAATAGCATGAGATTCTTATATCATTCATCTACATGCATGTTAGCATGTTTGGTGCGGGGATTCCAAGAGGCTAATGTTATGTAATACTATCTTAATACTTAGGGCAATAGAATGACATATTAGTGTGTTTCTAAACCTACTAATGCGTGCCTTCACATCATTTGAAACATAATGATCACAATTCTGAATTTATGAATTTATGAACCACCATAGCTTTGACAGAGTTGGAATGTGCAGGCCAAGATCTCACTCAAGATTGAAGATCATTTTCCTGTTAAATTCTATGATCCTTGATGTAACTACATACTGAATTTAAATATCCAATCCTGCTGCAAATCTGTATAAGCATGAAATAAGGAACTAAATAATGTTAGAAATATATATTAGATAATCAAGAACCCAACTACTACCCGTAAAAACAGGAAGAGAAATGACCACAAAGCTTATCACGGTAACATAAATATTTTTTCTCTCTAAAGTTTCTAGAGAAAAGGCTAATATTACAGCTACCAACCTATTAGCAATGCTCATATTTATACGCCAACTTAGTAGGAATTTAGAACTTAAATTTAGAAAGGTAAAAAGAAACAAAACAATACTCAAACACCACAATTGATGTAAACATTATTCATCGAGCATATCTTGGGAAATATAAACATGCGTGAGATATAATATTAAGTTTGACAAAGTAACAATACACCCATAGTGCACAACCAGTTTGAAGAGTTACCTACATATGAGTGAAAGTTAAATTCACATATATATATATATTGTGAAATATAATCCATATAAGTTACCCAAGAAAAGAAATGCACCATTTCTTAGTCAGAATTGCATCATGCGTGTGGATTGTGCATAATTTATCAGAAACATAAAAGATTGCTAGCCAAGAGCAGTTTTTACCATTGTGTAAAAACCAATTCATTGTTCAGCTTGCTTGTTTCTTATTCAATGGCAAAGCTGCTAAGTTGATAGAGTGGGATTTCCAAAAAGTAAAAAGGTCAGTAACCAACTTTATGGAACACATGGACCACAAAATAATGGTGCATATTCACCAACCACAACAACACACATGACCGTGACCATGTACTCCACATATTGCATGGCAGATATTGCCCAAGAGCTTCGTTTGTCCCCTGTATCGTAGATATCAAAACTTTACCCTAACGATACTGTGGATACTTTAAAATTTAACAAACAAAAGAAGCTCCAAAGAAGAGACTTGAATCGCAAGCTAGACCATCAGTGAGTATGCGCACTCTTTTGCTGGGATGCAGGGGAGCTTCAAGCAGCTCTCTCCGCTTAGTTTGAACGTTGTTAAGCTCTGGATCTCAATCTAAGGTTATCACTTGACATCCAATCAACTAATATGTTATTACCATCTAAATATCTTATCATTTCACATCACATATCTACCTCTGAGGAATAATTTTAGATCTCTATGTTCAGGAAAGTCAGTCATTTATCCTGGAGGTCAATGTCTTAACTTGCTAATACATTTATATCAATAATCAACATACACATATATATATTTACTTAAAAAATTATACAGACACGTGTGTACTTGCATTTATATATGCATACAATAAGGATACCTTTTTTCTCAGACACTTGGCGCGCATCTGAAATCTATCTTTTAATTAGTAGCAAGTCAGGCATTAATTAATTATCATCTCATGTGTCCTCCGCTTTACTACAATTGAGTCTCTATTGGTCATTTTCTCAAGCACTTGACGTGCATCTTCAAGCATACATTTTCTTTCCGTGATGACTGGGAAACTGCAAATGCAGAAATAAAAATCAACAATAAGAATTAAATTCCAGTAGTAGCAAGAAGCAAAATAAATGCCTGACTTGCAAAACTTTTGAATTTTAACATTTGTGATGCCTCATTACCTCTTCCAATACAAAAACATAAGCTCTCAAGATGGATGATGAACACCTGACAGTGAAATACATAAACGTTCGGTCTATTTTGTCAAGAATTCCAAAAAAGAAAAATCCATTACAGAACAATAAAATACACTAAAATAAAAGGCAAAATCAAAACTATGAGGAATACTGAAGGGGATATGTAGAAAAGTGAAGGGAAGAATAAGACTTGAATTTACCTGCTAGTTCTGCTTTAGAAGCACTCCTTGGTGTTATGTGAGAGTCTCCGACCAATATCCGTCTCCACGCTCACCTAACGACTGCCGGCGTCATTCTACCCGAAGCATGTGGAAAAAGTGCTAGATACAAAATTTAAAAAAAAAGTATACGCAGCCCAAAAAATGAGCCTGTACTGTTCATAAGCTATTATTGTGAGTGAGAAGGCATTATGAGCATAAAGTTAAGCTGGCTGCAACTTGATTTTTATTTAATATTGTAGGTTTAAAAGTATTTTTTTAATAAATCAAAACAAATTTTTTTATATATTTGTTTTGTATATCATAAAATTACTTTTAAAATTATGATTTTATTTCCGTCTAAACACTCTCTAAATAATAATGGAGAAGACCCTATTTTTAGATTTTTATTTCATTGTTGACAAAAAAAATATTTTTAAAAATGATAAAAAAAACACTGTCAAAATAAAAAAAATTGTAAATAAAATCCTATTTTATCCAAACTGGATCTTATTTCTAAAAATAGTAAAAAAAAAGACCGTTAAAATAAAAAATTATAAATAAAATCCTTTTTTTATTTTTTTTATTTTGACGGTTTTTTTAATTATTTTTTTTAAAATTTTATTCTTTAAATTCTTTAAAGGAAGGGTAAAAAATTAACTTGGAGATGCGGGGTATCGATCCCCGTACCTCTCGCATGCTAAGCGAGCGCTCTACCATCTGAGCTACATCCCCACCTAACAGGTGGTGCTTGTCCATCCTAATTAGAATATAGAGCAATGCATCGCATGACCTTGTCTTCAAGTTTCGGCCATCCCTTCGCGGCTTTGCAGTGGAAGTAACAGTTCAATACGATGCTGGGGAAACTGCTACCTCAATCCTTCGCATTTCATCGTCGACTCTCCAATGCCTACTTGGCTTCGCAACTCGTGGCACCGTCGGTGACTTCGAGGCGTTCGCCTCCCTTTTCTACTCATTCGTCGTCCCAGAATCCTAACGCGCCTTCCATCGAGCAGTTGGACGATGCAGATGAGTCTCAGTCTCCGCCCACTGCCGCTACAATTTCTATCGACCGTTCTGGCTTGTACAACCCACCTGGTTAGCTACTTAAATTTTCTTTTTTTCTTTCTTAAGATCCCTTTTTTTTTTTTTTAATTTAGTCACAATCAGCTCGGGAATTTTCCTCCCATTTTTCATTGTTATGTGTGGCAGAGCATTCTCATGAGCCAACTCTGGATTCCGAGCTTGTCAAACATCTCAAAGGGATCATCAAGGTTCGTTGCCTTTAATTTTTCCAGAACAGTTTTTGAACCCGTCGTTGCTTTTGTAATTTGGAGTCCATTTTTAGTTAGTTTGAACAATCTTTCTATTGCACCTGGCCTTTTAGGTCGATTAAGTGCTGATCAATTTGTTACGAAGCAACTTCAGATATATTACTATGCCTAAAAGGTAGTCTGAGGTCAGTGGATGATATGTATATGTTCAGAAGATGCTTATTTTATTCAATTCTCAGTTTCGTGGAGGTCCAATCTCAGTAGCTGAGTATATGGAAGAAGTTTTAACTAATCCTAGAGCTGGTTTCTACATCAATCGGGATGTTTTTGGAGCTGAAGGCGATTTTATAACATCTCCTGAAGTAAGCCAGATGTTTGGTGAGGTAAATTAGCTATAATACTTTTAATTTCTCACATTTGAGTCATGAACCAGGACGAGTTGAATTTCTGTGTCTGCGTCTATTCATAAAGTTTGCTAATGGAAGGATTCTGAAAGCTCGTTTATGTGAATTTAGATGATTGGTGTATGGGTGATGTGTCTATGGGAGCAAATGGGACAACCACAAAGAGTGAATCTAATTGAGCTAGGCCCAGGGCGAGGAACTCTTATGGCTGACCTTCTTCGTGTATGATACCACAATCATTTGTTTCTTTTGAAGTTCTGCAATTTCTGGCCAAAGTTTTGATTCTAGACGATTTCTTTACCTTGTCAATTAAGTATTCACAAAGCAACTCCAGTATTATGATGAATGAAAAAAAATTAAAACTTCACATAGGGTGCTTCCAAATTCAAGAAGTTCATCCAGTCATTGCATGTACACCTGGTGGAGTGCAGTCCAACACTGCAGAAGCTTCAGCACCAAAACTTGAAATGCATTGATCAAGATAATGAAGCTGAAAGTGCTGAGAAAAGAACTGTAAGCTCTTTGGCTGGTTCCCCTGTATCATGGCATGCTACACTGGAGCAGGTTCCTTCAGGAAGTACGTATTGTTTACCCAATGAACATTGGCATTTTAGACACTGTTGTTCAAGTAGTGTAGCATTATTTTTGTCTTCTTGCCCCTCTATGCCTTGATGAATACTGAAACCATGCTATAAAACAGAAAAACAAGTCTGAGAAAACAAATAAGGACCTCAATCTCATGTTTTGAATTGGTAGTCAGTCACCATATTGTATGCCCCACCTCTCTCTCAGCAATTTATTTTCTTGTTCTGTGCATGCATTTGTAAGAAATCTCTTCTCTCTTTTCTTCCTTTGATTTCTCTGAATATAGTTTTCACGTCCCAGTGGGCATTAGTGAGACAAACATTCTGCATATTCACAGTGTTTTTTTTTTTTGGGGGGGGGGGGGGGACTTCACAGTGTTATTTTAATAGTTATTAATCTATTTACATGCTATGAGATGAAAACAGAGAATATTTACAGCCAGTTGTTACTTACCTTTTAAAGAGGTGAAGGGGAAGTTATATACTAGAGAATTTTCTACTGAATTGTTTTCAGCTGAAGATACATTCATATGAAGTTTCTAATTTCATGCTTGAAAAACAATTACTAGGAAGCTGTTTTCTACTGAAAATCCTTTCCAGATTCAAGTATCAATTATTTTCTGTAAATCCGAATGGACTGTGTGAGATGATTGAATTTGTTGTTTTTTTTTTGGTTGGATTATTGACGGCTGTACGATTATCCTTTAGGTTAACTACACCGTTGCAGTATGCTGGGCAAAGAAAATTGAATATTAGGCTGCTACAGGTTTTGTTAAGATGTGTTCTGTACTTCTGTTTGGACCTTAGGAA